CCTACAGCGCCACGCGCCACGAGGGGCGGGCCGGCCCCTGAGTGGCGCGCGCACCACGCCGACTCTCGCGTCGGGCGACTGAGCTAGGCCCGCCCCACTTCCGACGCCGCCTTCAGTTCAGGTTCCGGGGCGCCGCGGAGCTCCAGGCCTGTGGCTCTCCCGCGGCGCTCCTCGGTCTCAGGGCCGCGCGCCCTGCGGCGGCCGGGATGGAGGAGGCCGGAGCGGCGGTGGCCACGGCTGGGGAGGCCGAACTGAACTTGTCCCGCCTCAGTGTGCCCCCCGAGACCCTGGAGACCGAACTGGAGTTGCGGGGCGAGGAGCGGCGCGGCGCCCGGGAAGCGCTGCTGCGGTTGCTGCTGCCGCACAACCGTCTGGTGTCGCTGCCGCGGGCGCTGGGCAGCGGCTTCCCGCACCTCCAGCTGTTGGACGTGAGCGGCAATGCGTTGACTGCGCTGGGGCCGGAGCTGCTGGCTCTGCGCGGCCTGCGCACGCTGCTGGCCAAGAACAACCGGCTCGGCGGGCCCGGCGCGCTGCCCAAAGGCCTGGCCCAGTCGCCGCTGTGCCGCAGCCTGCAGGTGCTCAACCTCAGCGGGAACTGCTTCCAGGAGGTGCCCTCCTCGCTGCTGGAGCTGCGCGCGCTGCAGACCCTCAGTCTGGGCGGCAACCAGCTGCAGAGCATCCCCGCGGAGATCGAGAACTTGCAGAGGTGAGGGCGCTCCGTCTTCCTTCGCTGCCTGAGGGCAGGGAGGCCCGGCCGCGTGCGGGAGCAGGGTCTCGGCGCTCTGCAAACTGGCGTCAGACTCTCGCTGTTACTCGGTGGCACTGACTGCTGCGCTGCCATCTCTAGGAGTTTAGTGCAGGTCTGTTAGGATCGTGTGTGTGTGACAGTGTTTGGCATGCTTTGGCAGTGTTTGGCTTGCGTGTGTTTCCCCGACGCAGATTTCCTAGACAGTTTCTGGGTCCGAGGGAGTAATCCGTACGGAGCAGGTACTCAGTGAGATGCAAGGAAAGTCGAGGTGGGAAAGTCCTTGCTCAGAAGTCTCTGGTGATGTTGCACGCCCATGGACCAGTTTGTGCCTTTCAGCACGACACACTGGGTTCTCTGATCTGACCCTTGCTTTGAGCTTTTTCTGCACCTTCTTCTCAGAAATAGTACCAGCAGTGTTACATGGGAAATTAAGTGAGCCTTCACTTTGCCAGCACTAAAGAGGTTTTGAATGGAAGCACTGCCTCTGTGATTGTTTGGAATGTTGCCTGCGCTTGGCAAACTCCTGTTCATCCTTCAGAACCAGTCTCAAGGGTCTTCATTGTTTCCTTTCTTTGCTGCTTCCTGGGTAGCAGTTATTTCCTGAACTGTCTTCTCTGTAGCCTCCTTTTATTGCTTCTTGGACAGCAGTTGTTGCCTAAACAGTTCTATGTATCATTCATTTTGCCACTGCATGCACTTTTATTGATTATAATTTCTTACGTGCAGGTTTGTCTGCTGTACTATTAGCAGATGTATGTTGAATTAAGTGGCAGAAGGAAGCAGAGAAACATTTTTCAGTTTTATACTCCATTTCTTATTACTGATAATCAGCTTCCTAAAGGAAGTAAGAAATAGAACAAGAGCAAATGTATTGTTCAGAGTGAAAAGAATATGTCTTACATCTATAAAATATTTACACATCCTTTATTGAATTTTCTTAGATAACAGAATGTTAGACTTACTTGGAAGTGACCTCAGAGTTAAGTGTAGTGAAAAGAACGTTAGTCAGAGAATGCTACCCCTTGATTTCCAGCCCTCCGTTGGCAAGTCACTTAGCATATCTTGATTATAGCTTTCCAATCTGTAAGTGAGGTGTTTGGACAAGATGTCCTATGATTTACCTGCCAAGTGTCAGACACTGTCCTAGGTGCTAGAGATACAGTGGTAAATACGTTTTTGCCAACATGAAGCTAACTAACAGAAGAGATCCTAAACATATAAGCATAAACCTCATTATTTAATAACAATTGTTAAAAGTTCTGTGACATATGGAGTGTCTTGGAATGAAATAACAGGCTCTTAGTGAACAAATAACATTTGGATTGAGCTTTTGAAGGAAGAGTAGGAATTACCTAGGAGAGAATGGGGCGGAACACCCACGTAGAGAGGACAGAGCTTGTGAAAGAGGCAACGAAGAACTACAGGCCAAGACTTTTGAAAGAAAATATTATATTAGAGCATAGGAAGGAAATGACAGGGACAGTGGCAAACGCAAAGTTGGACCAGATCCCAGGCCATGTCAGATCTTGAAGCTGTGTTACAGTTTTGAGTTTTATTCTAAGTACACATGAGAGTTTTGAGTTTTGAATATCTGTCCCATTACCATGCAATATTGGAATGGGGAGGGAGTGGAGAAAAACGAGGTAGTAGAGAGATGAGAAGAGATTGTTGAGGACCGATTAGGAGGCCATTCTAGTGGAAGGAGAAGTGATGGTAGCTACCTGGTGTGATACTAGGAGGTACGCTAAGAAATAGAAGGCTTCGGGAGAGATTTAAAGTTAAAACTGACAGGGTTAGTTTATTCTAATTTTGATGTTATTCAAGTCCAGCCTTCTCACTTGAATTTAAATTTTCTTAAGAGCAAATATTATTTCCATCACACAGAGGGAAAGGTGGGGAAAAATCTCATTTATAATTCAGTCCCTGTTGTACTCTTTAATTCCCACAAGAACACGGTGAGATAAGAGAAGGAAACCTCTGAAAGGTTAAGTTAAAAGATCAGAAAGTCAGTGAGTTGTGGACTGGATTTGACTTCTGGATCTCTGACCCCAAGCCCATGAATTTTCCAGTGACGAGAGTAGAGCTGGAAACTAATTCTTTTGATTCCTGCTTTGTTGCGTATGTGAGGCAGAGGTTTGGTTGAAACTGGTCTTCTGAATGACCTCATTTTCTGGGCATATAATTGTGTGGTTGCTCATTGTATCCTTGACTTCAATAGTGTATGGGTTCTTTTATGTCACTATTTTCATTTTTCAGTTGTATGTTCCATCTCTTTTTACAGAGGAATCAGTAGAAGACTGCTCCATATATAAACTCTGGTTGAGGGTGGCCAAAGGGATGTGTAGAAATACACTGCTAGAAGTAGAAACTTCAGCAGTGACCTGATTTCCCCTTCTTTCTAGAGATGAGGAAACTGAGATTTAGTGTCAGCCACTGGCTTGAGGCCACACAGTGAGATATATGTAGTTCAACCAATCTTCAGTGGCTACTTACCACTCAGTTCTAAAATGATGTTTTAAAACTTCAAAAATGTAGAGGTGGAAGTTCAGTCATTTAAACCATTAGGAATTTGCCCAAGAACACCATTTTCTCTTTAAATATATGTGGACTCCCTAGACCTGGTTGGTAACCCTGATATGTATAGTATACTCTTCCATTTTTTTTTTTTAAAGCCAGGTCAGGTGTATTTGGGCATTGAGAAAATACCTGCCCTCTTTAACAGCAGGGCAGGTATGTTTAGAAATAATGCAAAATATATGGTCCATATAAATGTCTCCTTCTCTACCTTACATCATTCCAGGTAGAAGTATCAGATACTCTTTAATTGGCATGAATGACTTACTGGATATAGTCGGATGTCTTCATGTTTATTTTCTGTGCCTTGCTGACCCTTTTCTGCGTCTTGTTGATTGAATAAGCCCCTGATCCTTTTCTGTTGCAGCAAAATCTTTAAAAATGGCTTCAAAAATCAGTTTTGAAGTATAAGTGATAAGTAGTTGCTGAACTCTTATTTTTATGATTAACTTCATTCCCCTAGGCTATCAGTGTGAACCATGAGGTTATGGGTATATATTTTTTCTACATATATCCATATATATATCCTCTGTATCCTCTTAGAATAGCATAACTTGTTTTTATAGTGGTGAAATAGGTGCAGTTTATATTTGACCGTTTCATCTGATCTCTTACCTTTTATTCCACTCAATTAGCTCAGCCACTAATGGAGGAAGAGTTTACTCAATTGAATAACAGTCGTCTCTTGAGAGGAACCTTTCCTGGCCACCCTTTCAAGACTATCACTTGTATCAACCATATGCCTCTTTTTCTTATAGCACTTAATGATTTCTGGCATAGTAGATAAGCATTATTTGGTTATCTTTTTTTTTTTTTTTCTCAGTGGAATGTACTGGAATGTAGAATGTTCTTTAATATCAAGAACTTTGTTTTAATTACACTGACTTCCCTGGAATGGTCTCAGGCACATGATATGGTCTAGTTCATATTTGTTGATTAATTACTTCCTTGTGTTTCGGTTCTTCAACTGAATTCTCTTCTTCTGTGTTAAAGATGTGCTTATTGTCCAGTAAAAAAAAAAAAAAGAAATCCCTCTTCTCCAACTACAGGTAACCTCTTTTCTCCCATTTAGGTAGTCTGAAAGCATAGTCCAGCTGAAATCATAACCCTTTTGGGCAGTCTTTCCTGGGAAATCAGAACTGTTGTGTCCTTTCCTTATTTCTCTACCTTTTAAACTTCTGTATAATTTATGGGTTGTCCCCTTATTTTGGCATTTTAATCACTATCCATTCTTTTGTCCTTGTTTTATGTTTAATTACAATACTGTGTAACTTGGTGTGTTATGTCTGCCTACCTTTAAGCTCCCTGGAGATTATATTATTTCTCTAAGACTATTCTAGCAAATTCTAAGTAAAACATTTGATGAAATATGTTCATTGTAAGAGAGATATTGTCCAGCTTTTGTTTACTTTTTTGTTTTTGTTCATTTAAATTTGCAGTTTAGAGTGTTTATATCTTGGAGGAAACTTCATCAAAGAAATTCCACCAGAATTAGCAAATTTGCCTTCTCTAACTTATTTGGTATTGTGTGACAACAAAATCCAAAGTGTGCCTCCTCAACTATCACAGTGAGTAGTTCCTGATAGTTTATATGTAGCAATAGATCTGTGCTTATGAATTATTGTCTTGCCTTCATCCACATGTTTTATATAAGAAAAGAATCAGGTGTTTTTGGGGTAAATAACACATGAGAATTACAGTTCTCTGAAGCTTGCTGTGAATTCGAATATTTATTTTTAATGTTTATTTTTTAAAAAGATATATTTACTTATGTGTACAAGAACTGAGGTACAGGCCAGAGGTGTGGAGAGTGAGAGGATTCACCAGAGACAGATTGGGAAGCAGAACAGGCAGGTTGACTAAAATACACTGCTGAGGGGAGCAGCGGGTAGGTCAGGCGAGGTCTGCCACGCCACGTGGGTCACCTTGCTGGCTAGGGATCGAGCTCATGCAGCAGTGGATGCAGATAACATCATAGTACTGTGCTTTATAAAATCTATGGCACCACCAGGGAGGGCCCTATTTTTAATGTTAATTTTAAATGTTCTGATTTATTCCTCAAAATATTTGTAATTAAAAAGAGTTAATTTGCATAAATTTCCCCTGGTTATATGGAATCTCAGAGATTTTATAATCAATGTGAATCATTCCTGTCCTAATGAGGTGACAATGTGAAGAATTTAGAGTCCTGCTATATTTGAAAGCTTTCCTTTTTTAGGTATCTGAAAGAGAAAACATATTTAAAAAATCTTTTAATCTAGTATTTGTAAAGTCTGTAATAACTTAATACTCGCTATATTATGAACAAAGTCCTTCATAACATCTAAAAATCTGTACTCAGTTTCAGCAGCTTTTATTTTACATCAGCAAATTTTTATTTTAATCTTACTTAATTACTCATTCTTATGTGGAAATCAAGTTTTTCACTTAAGGTTTCTTGGTAGCTATCTTGCTTACTGCCCTTATTTTTGTATTGCCATTATTCATTCTAGGATGCATTCCCTTCGTTCCCTCAGTCTTCATAATAACTTGTTGACTTATCTGCCTCGAGAGATCCTCAACCTTATTCATTTGGAAGAATTGAGTTTGCGAGGAAATCCACTGGTTGTTCGTTTTGTTAGAGATTTAACCTATGATCCTCCAACTCTCCTGGAATTAGCTGCACGGACCATTAAAATTCGAAATATTTCATATACTCCTTATGATCTCCCTGGGAATCTTCTTAGATACTTGAGTTTAGCCAGCAATTGCCCAAATCCAAAGTGTGGAGGTAAGTTAATTCCATTTCTTTGTTTCCAATTTATTTACCTAATTTTTAAATTTACCATTTAAGTTTTGCTTTAATTATCTTTTTTTAGAGAAAGAACGCATGTTTCCCTCATCCTTTTATCACTTTTATCAGAAAGTAAGACATTTTACCCTCTCTAATCTGCCTGTGGGCCTCCCCCCAAGCTCTACAAGATATCTTTAAAGAGTATAATTTGAAATGTATGAGATTGACTAAATGTGTACCAGTTTCAAAATGGACCCTGGAATTTTACAGATCCTTTTATTTTGGGTCCTTAGTAAGTTTTTTAGAAAATCCAACCTAATGAGAGCACAGAAAAGTTTTTACTGTAGTGTTAAATAGGTGCTAAGGAAATGCTGCATAATGATGAATAGAGCCAGGTGAGATTTTCCTTTAATGACTCCTTATATTTTAAAATTGTTAGACATTTAAATAGAAAGAAAATAATGTAAGTACCTCTTTTTAAAAAAGAGACAATAGCACTGGGCTTTTGCTAGTCACTTACTCTTAGAGACAGAGGTTGCTGTATTAAGCCAAGTTAAAGGAGCTTTTCCTTTCCAAAGTTGACTTTAACTGTAGCAAGGGACACCACTCACCAAGGCCTTTCAGGCTTCATAGATTATATTGAGTCTCTACTTTTCTAGAAATGGACCCCTGCAAGAATATTTTCTTCCTTAAATGGTTTCTTTCTTATTTAATATAAGGATGTGTTATTTATCTTAGGAACAAAAACACTTTAAAACTACTAATTTAAAAGTTAAGATAGTATTTAAAATGAACTGTTACTGTTTTCACCCTTCAGACTTGTTAGTTATTAAACTCTAAACAAAAGCAGTATCTTTTGTGAGATACTTGGTTTTTGTATAATCTGTGTGTTTATAGATGACAAGATAGTATTGTGCTGTTTTGGCTCATGGTAACTCTATAATGCTTTGTTTTATTATTCCTGACTGTTTTCAGGAAATGAGTACTTTTTTGGAGATTTTTGTTCACAGTAACATACCATAAATTTCGCTTTGAAGACTATGATTTATACATGCTATGGAATCAAATCATTCAGAAGTTAATAGGAAAATATCAGGAAAAAAATAGAAATTACGATTTCTCTTTTGCCTGGACCATATCTTTTAAATTTTTGTCCCTTATGTGATATATGCACAAGACTTGGTGCTAGAGGAAATTTAGGTATTCGCATAGAAACTGAGGTTCCTCTCCAGAGAAATGTTGGGATCCACAGTTCTAAATATCCCAGTTTTACTGCAACCATTGTGATAGCCCCATGGCTAGAGACATGTGGTATCTTTTTTTGGAGCACCTAGCACTACAAGGCACAATCACCTCTGTTTTTCTCCTCATATCTAGCTGTGTTTTTACTTAACTGAAATCCATAGTTCATGAGCACTAAATTCAGAATTAAAAGAGCTGAATCCTAGCTGAATGTAAGAATATTGTTATTCAATATGAGACTCAAGTAAAATCATTAGTGAAACCAGAGGAATTTTAAGATGGCATGTTGGTTTTAATTTTTCCTTTCTAGTACATAAGAACAGGAATACAAAAAATTACTCTCAAGTTTTGTATATAACAATTACTTTAAGATCATTTTTAAAGAAATTTTGGGGGTGTCTGTTTTTTGACTTCTGTTTTTCTGTGTTTAATACCATATAGTAGCTTGGGGATGAAGGGAGGGCAGTTAGGTACCTTACAGTCACCATCAACCACTCACTGAGAGAAAACGCACTACCTAAATTGTGCCTTTTTAGTGCAAGCTGCCTTTAACATGAGTCTCTTGGCCTTCTCTTTTCACTCAGATTGTCATCCCTGATACCTTCCAATATTTCTATAAATAGCTATAGAACAACTATTACTGCTTCTAAGAGTCACAAAAGAATACTATGATATTTCTTCAGAATGCTGGAAAAAGAATTTTAAAACAATAACTCTATTATTTGGTTAATGATTACTGTATGCCTATTTCTTCTTTTCTCCAGGAGTCTATTTTGACTGCTGTGTCCGACAAATTAAATTTGTGGACTTCTGTGGGAAGTACCGCCTCCCTCTGATGCACTACTTGTGTTCTCCAGAATGCTCTTCCCCCTGTAGTTCTGCCTCTCACAGCTCCACATCCCAGAGCGAGTCTGACTCGGAGGATGAAGCCAGTGTTGCTGCACACAGAATGCAGAAGGTTCTTCTTGGTTAAGAAGGGTATAGGGTGGTATGAAATAACAAAGACTGAGCAAAGGTGACTAGACAAAAAAAGACTTTGAAGTTCACTAGAAACCTTATTTTCATTTTATGAATGTTCATGAAAGAGAGAGAGATGATATAAGAGTTTGTATCTCATCTACTTAGTAGGAATGAGTCCCCTTCTACATTTGGATTCTTCAAATATAATTCACTATAAATGACGGTTTCAATTTGGGCTATTTGCAGTTGTCACTCACATTTTGCGTGAATCACAGCAGAATGAAACTTTCTGAAGAACATTGCTATAATAAGCCACAAGTGGTGTAACCTGTGACAGTTGAGATATAGACAGCAATGATGAAAGCTGTAATTGTCACCAGAGTGACAGTTGGTATCGGTGGAACACTACACCACAGTGGGAGTAGCCCTCCCTTCTTGCATTGCCCGGCAGTCTAGAGCTATTCAAATAAACCCATGTGTAGTTACGTAATACCTAAACCTCTTTGACCTACTAGCTGATAAAGTTTGGGTAGAACTTTTATGTGGAATTTTAAAACTCTTCAGTTCTGCTCCTTTGTTCCACATGATTGTTGTTACTCTTGCATCATCCAGCAAGAACTGTTTAGTGCCTTAATCTTAGCAAGGATGTAGAAATTTATTCAAGAAACTATGCAGACAATTTAAAATATGCTTTAACAGAAAAAGGTAAACAGTTGCATTTCTGACATCGTAGCTCCTGGCCATTGTTAACTCATTTTCTAATTTAAAGATTAAATGATCTTCTATCAGTGATTCACTTTTACACTTAATGGGAGGCCCAAGTGTTGATCAGGCTGTCATAATCATTTTGGACAGAAAATGTCAGACTTCTTTTGATAGAAAAATGTAAACCAGAGAAGTTTCTTTGTATCTTGCTTTAAAGGAGTGAGAAAATATTTTTTAAAATTTTGACAGTAGAATATGACTTTGCCTCTGTGATCTGCACTATAATTTTCTGTACTTTTAAAAGAAAAACTTCAAAAACACTTTTGCTCAAAAAATTGGGGGCAGCAGTCACTGCATTTGTACACAGTAGAACAATTTTTAAAACTAGTTAAAATCGTGGTCTACATTTGAAAATAATGTTGGTAAAATATAAAAAATTACTAATTTTACCTTTAAAGTATAGCAGAAAAATATTTTAACAGATTGAAGTCAATTGAAATGACCAATTTTTATTAACTTATGTGCAATAAAAATTGAATGAAGATACAGCTATAACTTGGTATTATAAAAGGAACTACACAACACATACTAGTAATTAACCGATAGTAGTGTAGCGGTTGTTAGTATTACTTACACAGTGATACACATACACAGGTCAGAAATGCATTGATTGGGCCGTCAGATAATCTCCCTTTTCTCTTCCCAGCATTCGTGACTGCACATTCCATTTCTGAAAGCTAATCATTGTATAATAGTGGCGTGTACATTTGTTGTTTTTTCTTATATGTTATTTTTTATTTTAGGAGAAAATATACTGTAGGGTAGTTTGGAGTTTATTGATTATATGTTAATTCATGAAACACCATGAGAGTTTCATGACTGCAGTTGTGAAGCGCTGCTATGGAGTGAATCCCTTCACCTTGTTATAATGTAGTATGAGTCTTTTTTCCTTTTGACTGAGAAATTTTTATGTCTATAAAAGTAATCTTGTATGTTTTTACTGCCTAGCAAAGTAGTACTTGGGTAATTATGGAAGTAATAAAAAATATTTGTTTACTTCTCCACTTGAGCCAGTGAGATGCACACTATAAAATCGTGAAAGGTAAAGAGGACTTAGGCCGGCCCTAATGTTTGATGAGTGACTTAGTTTAGATACATAAAATATTTTCATAGAAGTAACTAATATCTTCACAGTAAAGTACTCAAATTGATAGGAAAAAATTTTTATGACCCAAATGCTTTAGTTTACTTTTTAATTCATTACTAGCTTGATCTAGGTAATCTGCTAAAAGTTAGTCTTTGTAAAATAAATGGGCGGTTATGTAAATATAGTCATTAACCTTGCACACTTTTCTTCAGCTCCCCAGAAAAAAGGTGTACTGATTTATCAGTAAAAGGTGTAAATAGGTCCAATCCACAATGTAGCCTTTGCCATTTAGTGTAGTTATATACTACACATGGAGCAAAATGTCTTTCAGTGTCTAGAAAAATGTTTGTTATGGTTCTCTGTATGTACATTTGAAAATCTGTGATAAGTGTGCAACTCTGGTGACTTTTTCTTTAATTTATGTTTAGCTGTTTTGGTTTTTTTACCTTTGATCTAACCCTTTACAAGAGCTGCTAATAATTGTGTTTTTTTGCCCTACCCTTTTTTCATAATGAACAATCATAGACACTAACTCAAAGGATACAAGGGACTTGATAATCTAGAAAACAGATGATCGGCTCCCAAATCATTTAGCTATGCATTTAAAATCATAGTCTGTATCTACAGCTTCTAAGTCACATGTTTGTGTTTAAACTACAGTGAACATGTTCTTAATAGTGTTCCACTTGGACAGTTTTAGTGACTGAAGCTTCTGTGGATAAAAATACTTAACAAAAGTATTAATGTGTTATAATGGAATTCTTTAGTGCTGATATCTTTTTTTTTTTTTTTAGTGCTGATATCTTAATTGAGATAGGTACATTCCTAAAATCCAGTTCTCTTAGTGTCTTCACATTGAATTGGTGTGAGATAATGCTAGGGTTTTAGGAAATAGGGAGAATATAATGCTTGCTTCCATGGTGCCAGGGACTGGCTAACGTAAGGGCAAGCTAGTCAGGGTTCTCATTTTTTCCCTGCGTGTGAATAGTGAAGGTGGATCTGAGGGCCATGTTCATATTTCACTTCTAAAGGTATGACATAGGGATCTCTAATTCTAGAATTCTTGATATTGGAACTTTGTTACTGAATTTAAAAGTAAAGACTTGCATTATAAACTGTACCTCAAATTTGAAAACAGTTTGTGTTAGTGTAGGTTAAAGTTAAAGACAGTCCATGTAAGTGGTGTGTAATACTGCAGACTGGTTCTACCACAAATCTAAATATTAACTTTAAACAAAAAAAGAAAAGGGAAAGGCAGGTGCTGGAATGCTTAATGAAGGAAATCCTTAAAGCAAAAATGGGCAGGAAAAAGAGAAGAAACCAGACATCTAGGGACATCCCTGACTCAAGAAAGCCTGCTGGTAACAAATTGCTTTAAAATTAAGTGGCCCTTTGACTACCAAAACCATCTGAATTTACTCACTTTCTGCTATTGGGAGATTGTCCACATTTCTCCATATGAAGGGCCAGTATGTAATAGGATTTTCTGATAGTCAACTTTGTTCTTTCTAAAGGAAGAAAGTAATACCTCATTAACCTGGAACTTGTGGTTAATGTTTACTGCTTCATTATGTAAAGAAGAAAAATGACTAAGCAAATAATTAGTATAAGTGAAATCGACCTTTTAAAAGTATTTTAGCAATAGCTATACAATAGCTAAATAGTCATTCTAAATAGTTGTTATAGTTATTCTAAATAATAAGGCTATACAAAACAGTTATATGTATATATAAATTAGTTAAGCTGCATTTATTGAGAACTACCTAATTTTTACCTAAGTTAACCTTTTCATTCAAGGTAGCAATTTTAGTAAGTCAGTATAAATGTTACAACATATTTAATCCAAAATAATGAGCTTTCAGGTTGTGCTGGGTGTTTAACAGTAGTTGGTTTTAGGCTGTGTAGGTTTTATAGGCAATGTGATCTGTAATACAAAGTTCTCATTTCCTCACACAGAAAAATACTTGAGCTACACTACCTGTATTAAGCATTATCCTTTGCGTAACATTAATCTCTAGTAGTATCTAATTTAATATTTCATTTTATTCTAATCTTGTTAAAGGTAGCTATGTCTTCAGTTGTGCTCAGAGTATATGTGCCTTACATCCTTCACTCTAGACCCAAAGTTTGGACATCTGTGTGACTTATTAAATATAAAGTTGATTGTGACCATTTGACTTGAGAAACAAAGACTGTGATTTGAGGGCGTCCTTGGTCTAAAACAGATCTATGTGTTTAGGGCTTCTGAAGAAGGAACCCCAGTCATGCATGCTGTCACAGAAGATCAAAGCCATAAAAATCAAGGTCCCCTGAAGTAAAATCACAAAAAGATATGTCTTTTTTATATTATATTATAAAAGAAATTTATCTTTTACTAGTGAAGGATGATAGAGAAGTTCCTAAGCATCTTCATGTTAAAAGCATCATATAAAAATTTTGCTGTAGGCCTAGCATATTTTTCCACTTATTTTCTTTGTAAAACTAGACTATAGGGAGTATGTTTTAATATTTTCCCATGTAAGTACATTTTTTTTCCTATCATTGGCCCATATTTGCTAATAATTAATGTAGAAAAGAACAATACACTAGCAAACATTATGTATCATTGAACACACAGGGTTACATTGATTTGGGTGCTACTATACTAGATTTTACCTAGCATTGGTCAGTCTCAGTGTAGTATTTGACACAGTATTTGACCTAAAAATTTTTAAGATTTTGTAGTTTTGAAGGTTATATATATGCCAGCATACTAGACAGCCATGATGGAGAAACTATGCATTCATCAGAACTTAATTTCTTCCTGTGGCTCTAAATAAATTGGATAAAATATTTTATTCTAAATTCCAGTTAGGGAAAGAAACTGGGATAAGATTAATACTACAGTTGCTGCACATGTTACTACAATAATGTTATTTGGTTAATCTGTCTGTAACTGATGTTTAAGAGAAATTTTTCACTTCACTTGACATTGATGTGTTAGAAAAAGAATATTAATCTTAACAATCACTTTATGCTATCATGAAGAAACCATGATATTTGTGAGATTTGATATCATGATATCAAGCCATGATGCCATGAGATTTGTTGCACTTCTGAGCCCACTCTCTATTCATCAGAAACAATAACATAATTGGAGAATTATTTTAAGTAACCAGTATTTTAACGTTTTATAAAATTTGGGACTTTACAGTATCAATAAAGAATATTGAGTATGTGCTTTTTACTATGATCATATTACTTTTTATTATCTAATTTCTTTATTTTCTGTATTTTAAAATATTTTGAATTAGGAATATCTATGTGGGTATATCAGCATTTAAAATTTAATGGTAACCATAAATGTAACTCAGCAGTTAAACTTTATTTTCAGGACAAGATATAGTTCATTGTATCAAATTTATGTATTACCCTGTACTGGTAAATGTTCTAAAAATATTTAAGCTACTTCAATTCTAGTATCTCTTCCTCCTTGCATCCTAGAAATGCAAAAGAATATGATCTTATATTAACAAACCATCTGTGAATTTTGCCTTATCAAACATTGTGCCTTATTTTCTTAAAAGTGTTTTGTTGGAATATGATTCTGTTTTCTGCAAAAGTAACAGTATTTTAGTTTCAATTGACTTTTACCCAAAAAAAAAAACCTAAAATCATTACAATGTTGGTATTTGCCTGATTATCTGCTATATCATTGCTCACTTGTATTTTAAATTTTTTCAGTACATCAATAGATAAATTAAGCTTGTATTAGTATTTATACTCTGTACTAGATCCAAGGGGTGAAAGATGAAGTAGATCTGGCTCCTTACTAGCCTTTCCTCTGCTCTATAGTCTTCACAGATTTATGGATATATGCTCTAATAAACTGGTGAGTTTCTTTGCTTGCTAATGTCAGTTACTTCTGTGTTTAGTCCAAAAAGCAAACAATTTTTAACCCAAAGCAGTATACTTCTTTAAGTAAGCATGTTGTTACAGTACTATGTATTATTGTCATTTGGTTCCCTAGAACACCTGACATTTTTCTAAATTCCAGAATTTGGAAGAATGTTGTAGTTTGTTATTAGTTGAAGTAAGAGCAGGTAAAAAAGACATGTTCTTTACATAACAGGTAATATTTCAAATATACTGAGATGAAGAAAACTCAACACTAACCTGGTATATTGCCTAGGTGAGGAACATTTTATCAAATTGCATTCTGGATCTTTTGACCATAGCTAAAAACATGCTAATATCCCAACCAGCAGTTAAGAACAGAA